TTTTTTTTCTCTTAATTCATTGCAATCCTCCTAATCTTCTATACTGGTAGCACAAGATTTGAATAAGTTTGAAAGTTCTCCAATATTTTTTTTTAAAATTCGGCTATTCAGTATGTCAGCATGTTATCTTTTGGTACAGTTCACTTTCTTGGGTTTATTGTTATCAGCTTCTCGTATGCTTGCGCATTTTCTTTTTTTCCTACTATCCCTCCAAATATCTTCATTTTCCTTCACTTTTAGCTATAAAATGGACTTGGAAGTTAACCTTGAGTCATCTACAAACTTTTCTGATAGATCTTCAAGCGTCGCTAGGAAGTTATCTAATACTGCAGAAAGGTCAGCTACATCTGCAGCTTTTTTGCACTTTATAGAATCAAATTTTTGAACCCTCAGGGCATCTCGAGCTGCAAAGGTTTTGCCTGATTCACCTGCTGACTCACAGGACTTACCTCTGCCCTTTACCGGTATGTTTCTGAACTTGCAAGAATATTATTTCAAAGACAGGATAATTATCAAGCGATTTTTTTTATTTTAAGGGAGGAAACAGGGTGTTACCCGACGTGCTTCACTAAACTCAAATGCATCCTCGTCGAAGCAGATTGCAGAGCTTTCTGGAGAGGATGTTGACAAGTACTTCAATATTCTTCTTGTTTCATTAGAAACAGCCGTTTGATCCGTATTCTATCCGTTTACAGGACTTCTGCATCCCAGAAACAACGCCGTAAATCTCGTCCAGTCTCTACGGAAGGTCAAGAAGTTGACGATTCTTCTGTCTTTACTAAACCGACCACATCTACTCGTACGCGGCACCTGATAGCAAGGAGGTTAGCAAATTTATTTTTTGAGAATAAATTTTACTCGAAGATGCTTTTAAGGTACTCCCCATCACCAGACACTCGTCCCGGTGCGAAATTAAAGAATTTAATGGCTAAAATTCAAGACAAAGAGAAACAGGGGAAACAGAAATTGGCAAGTTGCTTACTATGAAATTTTATCCTTTTTTTCTCAAATTTGATTTGCAAAATTAGAACTGTTGCCCGTTTTTTTTTGATCATTTTTTTGCTATTTTGCAGAAAAATAGAGTCTTTTTCAAAGTACCCTTTGATATTCTCATCTATCTTGTCTGCACATTTAAGCGATCTACGAAAAGTCGACGAAGGCCAATTTCTATATACAAAAACTCCATGTCTGTGACATTGCGTTTACTTCGACTCATATTGCGTCACTAGCGTGCCTTTTTTTCTAGTTACTTCCCAGCTATTTAACTTATTGAATATTGTTTAGCTATGTGTTTTCATTGCTTCTAAGGATTAATGATTCAGCTTTTTCAAAACTACCGTTTTCTACCTATTTATGCACTTTAGGAGTTCTCTTTCACAAAGTTGCCGAAGGATTACGATTCTGTCTCCATCATCCTTCTTGGGAACCTGCGTTTTGAACCCATTGATTTTGAACTGCCTCATGATATCGCGAAAAGGCTTAAAGAGGCGGCTGTATTGGCACGAGAATCACCAGTAGTGAACCCTTCTCCAGCACCAGCCACAATTTCTGCAAAAGTTAGGGTTAGTCTTTTGCCTACAACTTCCTCGAATGTTTTGCTTTTGTTTCACGTACCCTCTGTTTAGCAACACCTAACCTTTCTTTATAGACCAAGCCTTCTCGTTCGACCGCTAGAACACGTCAAGAACTTGTCGTCAAAGAAGAAGTTTTGAGTGTACAGTCATCAGACGGTATGTTGTATATTCAAAATTCAGTAGTTTAGAGTTTTGAAGCATTATCCTATTTCAGAAGAAGATGCTAATGAAGGATCAGCACCCGTTATAAGAATGGCTGATATAGGAGCGGCACCGTTCACGCCTACACCCGTCGCGTCCCCTACCAATGTAACAACAAAGCCCAGAAGAAGGCCCAAGCCATCAGCTCCGGTAATCAAAGTGAGCTAGGGATAGCTTGCGTTATTTGATTTTGTGTGCAAAAATTATGTCGTTCATTTGCAGCTTCCTAGAAGAAGAACGATTGATGTTGCCAATAGGATGGATTTGTCCGAAAGATCCTCCATGGCATCTGCAAGCTCAGCTGAGGATGTTGTTGGTATGCCGGTAGTTGAAAAGGTAGTATCTGATTTTATGGTTGTACCCTTCATTGCTTATTTGCAATTGCATATTTCCCATTGTTCAAAAAGACTATGCAAATAATTCATGCTATGAGCATTAATTCCTTTAGCCATTCTTGTTATTGTTTGGCTTTGATCAAACGAGTCTTTTTTTCGCTTAATTCGCCTTTTTTTTAAGTCTTTGAAGGTAAATTACAACTTTATATATATATATATATATATATACATATATATATATTAAATTGTTGGCGCTTGGCC